CCTTTAATCCTAAAAAACTAAGAAAATTGATGATTTTATGAAAAAAAAGAAGACTTTTGTAACTTAAAATAGGATTTTTTTGATGATTTCACCGAGAAAAATCAACTTATTATATACCATTTTAAAAAACTAAAAGAAAACGTGATTTTTGGAAAAAAGAAGCCTATAAGTGATCATATAAGTCAACTTTTCAGCAAAAATTTCAATCGCCTGACCTTATGAAAGGCACTAATGCAACTAATGCATGAGAAAATCGACAGGAGCCAAAAGAGCAAACGAATTCCCACAATGAAAGTCGAAAAGTAAACAACTGAAGAAGTATCCCATAGAAGAGATGGAAGATAGCGCCTAATACACTTTTAACGTAGGTTATTAATAAGCGACGGGTGATGGCTGACGGCTGATGTATGGGAGGTCTATTCATGAGATCCACCACGCCTTCCTATCTAGGAACCACATCTAACACTTAACTTGACACAATCATAATCCAATATCTGTTTAATTCGTATGGTTTTAAATTGAGAAGGATCCATCGAGAGATCCGGGGTATCGTTTGTTAATTTCCATAATTACCCTCATGAATACATAAATAGATCATACGGATCATTATAATAGATCACCATCTAATAATATAACGTTTGAATTTGTCAACAGGTTGTTGAATTGCACTTGAATACATAATCCAGATATTTGAATTTAAAAGCCAAGTAGTGTCATCTTTATGTTAATCTTCATTCGTGGGACGGTGATGTCCTTATATTATATTATATTAGCTCAACTAGAAGGCAGGTACTTCTAAGCTGAAGAAGGCGGTCTGACCCGGCTTATTATGCCACCCTATCGCTTCGTCATTCATCTAATGCTCATATTTATGGACACCTTTATTGAATATAATAATAATAGTGGTTGTTGTCCGGCAAGTTAGCCTTTTCTCCATTCTGATAATTTATGTACACATGTGGTATCCGTGTGGTGTCTGTAGTGTCTTTGGCTTAATCTCTGGACTCGGCTGCATATTGATATCCGATAATGCCGAGTGATTTTGCTATCCTACCTTTATTATCATTTTTACATTACTTTTTTTGCCAAGCCACAACGCCTTTTTGTTGGTGGTCATTAAATTACCTATTTTATTGACGCAACAGAGAAAGGTTTCGCTGATTTCAATGAGGATTATTAGTTATATTTCCTGATAAATATAAGAGTACCAACAGAGGAAGTTGCTTATTTATATCACTATTATTTATCATGATTCTGGTTTTTTTTTTTTTATTTTTGTTTTTGCGAAACTCTAAGCTGACTTCTATGATATTATATTGCCTTTAAATTAGTTCAATACCTCTCTTTATTTGTCATTAAATAAATTCCCCAAAGACTATTATTTAAAATAATACCCTTTGATAGGATCTAGTGATTGTAATCGAGTCTATTTATACGAGTATTTATTAATTGCCGTGAATAATGCAGGTTTATTATATTTTGATTTTATTTATGAAATACGAGCAAGAATTTATACTTTCTGTTTAAGCGAACGTTAGATACTGATCGATAAGTATAAGTGCTTTTAGTTTAAACAAGTTTTTTAGGATTTTTTTTGAGGAAATTAAGTATTTTTTTGAAAAATCCCGTTTTTTTTTTTATTTTATTAGGATCTTTTCTATGAAAAAAATTTTTTACCTATAAATTATTACTCAGAGCCTAAAATAGACACTCTAACGGGTAAAATGGTCCATTTAAATGGACTTTTCGCAAAGAATTCGTCCCAAAACCATCAAAATTAATTATCTTTCCTTTTTCCTGCCAATTAAAAAAAAAAAAAAAAAGAGATCACTTCTCTCAAAAAGAACTCTTCGTTGAGTTTCTGGTGATATGTAGTCAAGTGATGAAGGGCGAGATGAGGTCGGTTGAATTTCTCCGAAGCATGAAAATTGCAGCGATTACACGAGGACCCGAGGCGAGATATTTGCATTGGAATGCACTTGGGGGCTGGTGCCGAAACTTCGCTCCACGTGAGATAATCTACAGGGTGTCCTGTAGATGCAACGTGAGAACTTTAAATTACTCATCATCATCATCATCAGGATTATTTAATTCAGCGAGATTAAGAGCTAGAAATGGCGTTGGCACTCGGACGAGTCAATTAATGCCAGGGTCTGATGAATCTGGCGGCTTTGTCACGAAAGGTGAATTATCACCGGTAATTATTCATCGTGCGTGTTGAACAGTCACGCCAAAGACAGTGACAAGAACAACATATCAGGGAAAATAGTCCAAGTATCTCGACGCCCTTTGGCGAAACTTGTCCGTAGGTTTGATAAATGCGAGCAAAAGCGAGTCGCTATTAATTATCTGTCTGTCGATCAGATCATTCATTCATTCCTTACTCCGGCCACCATAATTCACAAGCAACCGGACAATGACACAACAAATATAAAAGGTGTAGAAAGATACGTGCCGGTTGATTTATAATGTTATGCTTAGATCCCCGGACCCAGAAGCTTTTGCCGTTTGTAATATTGTAATATTGATATTGCTATCAAATATGGGTGTAGGTATGTAATGCTGCTATTAAGCTAAGTAATATATAGCATTACGCTACAAGTCGGAGGCATTGAACGGCTAGATACTCTTTATCGGAACTTAAGTTCTGGTTCTGCCGTTTCTGGATTGCTACAATAAAAATACCCTCATTGAGTATCGGGATTACGCATCAAATTATACGATATTGCTTTCAAAGTGTGATTTACGGCGTGAAATTGTATAGATCATGTTCCACTGCTCAGGCTCCATGCCCGTAATTGGGGAGGTGTAATGGTGCCCACTGGACAAATATTTTTGAAATTATTTATATTACCGTAAAAGCATGATTATAGACGCTCTGTACAATGTTTTTAAGGTAAATGTTTATTGTTTTTGATAAATTTTCTTGCGTTTCTGCAATTGTAAATTGCTATTGGTATAGATCATTTTTTTTTAAAAAAAAATCCAAAAAAATCTTTATTTATAACTCCCGCAGTTAAAAATACTGTCCAACCGACTTCGCAACAACCGCTAGGAAATAGCGCGATAAAAAAAAGGATTCCCCGAAGCGTAAGGTGAATATAAGCCTCGGGATTATCATAGCTCGTGCATCTTTTCTTATTTAATATTAGATAAAAAGATGATGATTCATGGTAGATGGTAGATGGTAGATGGTGGTATCGCTCAACCGATGATAATGATAATGATAATACTGATGATGAAACTAGTAAGATCATTGTTATTGTTGTATTCCGTTGTAAAAGGATCAAGCCCTTATCATTTATCTTCCTGTTTATTCCGTCGGCAGTGCATCATCGGGATTTTTCCTTCAGCAATCCATTTATCAACAATATCAAGACCAACAAGCAGCAGCAGCAGCAGCAGCTGATGCATTGAAGCACCAGATCCACTGTAGGGATCTTTAATGGATCTTGATCCATGGAATTTCTCGGGAAATATCATCGTTTTATTGAACAAAGTGTCGAAAGCTCTGTAATTACTCGTTTTTATCGTGACTACTGGTTCTGTTCTCGTGTGAAATCAATGGCTGGATGATCAATGTCTTTCCCTTTCGACTTGTTGATTCTTTGGTTTTGAATCCCCAGACTGCTCATTAGGGTGATTGCTAGTACTCACGCACATTTTAACGCACGCGACCAATTCACTTCTTTGTCTCCACAACTTCTACTTTATTTTTCGCTTTGAATAAACTTTAAATAAAAAACACTTTTAAATAAAGACCTTGGTAAGTCCCTGAGAACAGAACTTTCCACAAGATTGATGACTGATCCAGGATAATCTGGATTCATGCCGTGTCCACGAACTTTAATTTCTTCATCAGCCTTTTTGTTATCGCTCGGTCTTTTCATAACTGCTGTTGTTATTATTGTCCTGAGACAATGTTGCCCATCACTTCCTAAGACAGGTAATAAATTAGCTTGACATTCTTGGAGAATCTAGTCACCAAGTGAGCCGAGAAATGAATCAGAGAACTATGAACCCTCTTCTGAGATTTAATAGAAGGCTTAAACCCATTTTTGTTTCGATTCACAGTCATCGCGATTAATATACATCCATTATTTATAATCGTCTGCCACCGACGATATTATATTTACTTCCAGCTTCTAGGAAGTATGTTTAACAGTAGCATATCACGAAGCTATTATGTAAATTGAGGAAACGTCATTATTTATTACTCGATCAAATATATTGGTTTTACACAAATTGGATAGCAGGTAATTGCTTTCAGGGAAATTTTTGAGTTGGTTAAGTAGAATCGCTTTTGTTTCGATATAATTTGTAGACGTTAAAGAAAGTTACTTTTTAAAAGTTTGATGTTTTATTTTTAATAGTTGAAAAATCCTAAAAAAAAAACTGAAAAAAAAACATGATTTTACGAAAAAAATAAGACTTTTATAAGTGTAAGAAGAATTTTAAAAATAAATTTCTAATGATTTTTACACACTAATTGAATTAATTATCAAAATGACAGTTTTGGTTAGTGTGTAATTATCTTTAAAACAGAGTTGTTGATTTAAAAAATATTTCCGGGTGAAGTAATAGTGGCTAAAAAACAATTTTATTTATCGGACACCATGCGGCGAAAAATATCAATATATATGTATATGTTATATTACGTTAACTCGCTTAGCTAGCTCCAGGGTTTCGTCGGTGTTGATCATCTTTTACGAGGGTTTACAACGTGTTCATCAGACTAGGTGATGATGAGGCGAAGAAACAGCGTGAAACGAATTATCCGCCACTCATGATCGCTGACGTCTTCCCGCTAAAATCTTCACCAATTATTATCAAGTTTATATTGGAAATCACCGACACATTATCGCCCAGTTAACTTTATATTCGATATTATGGTTATGATATAATAAATACCACCTCCTACGCTGATCTAATTGGCTAATATATATTTTATAATAATAATAATAAAAATAGTATTTAGTTTTATGGACTGTTGAATTTTAATGGACGACAATTTTGTGTTTCAGAGTAGTTGGTGCGGTTGTTGTCGGGGCTGCGGTCTGTGGTCGCATCCCAGGACTCGCGAAAAGCCAGCGCGAGCAGTGTAGAAAAATGCCACATGTGATGCCCGCCGTTGGGGAAGGTGCTGAACTTGGGTTACGCGAATGTCGGTACCAGTTTCGACACCACAGATGGAATTGTACTCATGTTGTCAATGACAGAATTTTTGGGCATGTCGTTGTTGTTGGTAAGTTTTTTAAATAATTATTTTTCCAAAAAAAAATTATAATTATAAGTATTTTGGCTGCATAATTAAGAAATGACTTTGTGTCTTGAGAAGTATTGACATTTTTTAATATATAAGCTCATCCCGATGTTACACTCATCAAGACCTTTCATTTGAGTACCTACATCAATTTTTCATATATTTTATATATTTATATATATATATTATATATATGTATATATGAAAAATATATCAAAAATGCATGTGGGTACTCAAATGAAAGCTCTTGACGAGTGTAACATCGGGATGAGCTTATATCTTTAAAATATATATTATATATATTGCATAATTAAGGAATGACGTTGTAGCTTGTGAACTATTGACATTTTTTAAGATATAAGCTCATCTCGATGTTACACTCATCAAGACCTTTCATTAGAATAGCCACATCAATATTTTATATATTTATATATATTATATATATGTATATATGAAAAATATATCAAAAATGCATGTGGGTACTCAAATGAAAGCTCTTGATGTGTGTAACATCAGGATGAGCTTATATGACAAAAAAAAAAAACATAATAATAATAATAATTAGTATGATCGAGGTGAAAATCCATTAGCAAGTGTCGTCAAAAGAAATATAAGTTTTTATATAAAATACCAATACGGTTACGGTACCGTCCAATTAATATTTATAATCGATGAACTGGAGGTTCGGATTTAAAAGAAAACAGGTTTTAAATATCTTACACTGTATACAGCGTTAACTAAAAAATATTTAGTGATAGTTTTTAGTTAAAGAGAAGAATTCAATAGAAGAGAAGAAGAACCCGGTTACGGTTGCGAGAAATAAAAAGCTATCTTTTAGAATATAAGTCACAATTCTCAGGATCAAAATGAAAATCAAGATCAAGATAAAGATTACTTTCTAGTGAAGCGTTAAATTTATAAAGTTGGCTTAAAATCGCGTATAACATAAGACGTTATTTGGATACTTTTGTGTTAGTTGTATTGCTTCTGAAATAAAAGTAACATATAGTAACTTACACACATGCAACACCCACGGGCTGAATTAACGAGCGGAACGAGGTTGTTAGACGGTGTTAACACCTTTAAAACCGATGTTAAAGTTTAAATGTGTATAAAGTAAAGATTCAAGTAGCTGGAACTTAACTATTTTTATGCTTGTACACTAAACCGACAAAATATATTTAACACTTGTTATTGTCCTTTTGCGGTACCTTTGTTTTTACTCATACATCTTTTTTTTTTTTTTTTTTTTTTTTTTTTTATTATCACCTCTTAATCGTCTTACCGTACTGAAAACGTATATAGTACGCGAAAATCTCTCCAAGACACGACAAGATAATCCGTTTGCATAAATATTACTAACAGACTGTGTTTGTCACTCGAGTATTAACGGCCCAGAATTATTGTGACTTACCGAGGAAATCCTAAGATTACACCGGATTATCCTAAAATATTTAATAATTGACTAGCAACCTCGTGAACTATAAATAAATAAAATTTTGCTTTATTAAATAATGAATTTTGTTGAATTGCACTGTACGTTCTTAAAAATTGACGTTTTTTAAGATATAAGCTCATCCCGATGTTACACTCATCAAGAGCTTTCATTTGAGTACTCAGATGCATTTTTGACATATTTTTCATATATACATATATATATAATATATATTTTAAAGATATAAGCTCATCCTGAGGTTACACTTATCAAGAGCTTTCATTTGAATACCCACATGCATTTTTGATATATTTTTCATATATATACATATATATAATATATATAAATATATAAAATATATAAAAAATTGATGTGGGTACTCAAATGAAAGGTCTTGATGAGTGTAACATCAGGATGAGCTTATATCTTAAAAAATGTCAATAGTTCACAAGATACAAGGTCATTTCTTAATTACTGACATTTTTTATACATTTTTAAATAAACTATCCCCAAAAAAGAAAAACACTTAAAAAGCGAGCCCATAAATTGAAACCCAAAAAAACGGTATCTATCAGCGCCACGGGGTTCTGCGATTAAAAGCAAGTATCGAATATCGTGAATTTGAGGTCTCCTCGTTACACCGAAGGAACAAATTAGCCTGGCGATAAACTCGACAGAGACAGATCGGTTCAGCGTTGATACAATTATCGCTAGCACTACCAACGCCACTATCTCAATACTTACTAATATTTATTTCCTATATTTTTTCACTTAATTATCCTTTCGGTTATTATTATGATAATAATAATAGCCGTGGGTGGAAGATCGGCCAATCGGTGTGGGCCAATCCAGTTATTCCGATTCACCGTCCAAAATTTATATTTATATTTTTATTTAAGAATTTGAATTTATAAATTGATAAGCTCGGACATTAACACAAACCAGACATTAAATTCTTCGGGCCGATAATATTTTAGGTGATGTCTAAATTCGATTTTCCAATTACTGAATTCTATGAATATTTAATTTGTTATAAATTACCGATTTTTAATTTATTAAAAAAAATAAGTGGAGGTTAAAAATGAGCCAACACCGAAAATAAAGAAGACAGCTGCACGCGAGATTTATTATTTTTTTTTTTTTTTAACTTTCCACCGCAGATGGACGGGCATAATTAAATTCAATGAATATACCTCAAAGTAGATATTTTAACAAACAAAATGAACTATAACAAGTTGAATTTTAATATACCAAGAAACTTAAAAAAATCCTAGTTTAAACAAAATCTCTCAGTAAAATATTTAAAAAAATTAAATTAAAAGCGTGTTAAGAAAGAATAAAATAAAATAGTAAGGAGAACGGCATTTATAAAAGTAAAGTGAATTTATTGCCTGCTAATCGGTTAATTCAGAAGATTTAATTATCCGGCACAACAAATTTTTATTAACAACATTATTTATTATAATAAAGTTCTTGTAGGAAACAAATTACCGGGATAAATAAAATTAACTACTCAATCAAAGTTAACTCGTCCAATTAACGTTTTTTCGGTGTGGGCGATCGAATTTATTCAGCCCGGCTAAAAGGAATTAATGTTGGATGATGATATGAAAATAAATAAAATAAAAAAGGTATATGAAAAAGAGATTATATGACCGCTCGCAGAGGAGGTACACCAGTGAGGGCATTTAGCGAGGCATGTTGAATGAGACCGTTAATTTAACTAATTAAATTAGCGGCATGGACGTTATATTTTTTTTCAGCTTGTACATATTAATTTAACTTATTTTTATTTCGATAAAACTTGTTGCCAAGTTATTTTCTCAACAGTAAGCATTTCTGATAACTTTCGCGGGGAAATCAACGTCACTCAAAATATTTAACAACGTAATCAAGGATGTTGTTAAGTTTCTAATGGGTCATTTATTAATTAATTTTTTTTTTTAATGAAAGTTTAAATAAAATTTAATAACAAGTTAAAAATTTTTCAAAAGTTTTGAACCCAAATTTTTGGATTAAATTTTAAAAATATCAAAAAATATTAACAAATCCTTCTATCAATGTAGAACAAAGAGAGTTCAAATGCTAAGTAGGCTGGTGTCTTAATTACAGTAATTGGTTAATTGTTCCCTTTATCTGATCCTCGGAAATGTCAGCGGACTTTTGTATTAGAATTTCGATCTTAATCTCGAACTCGCGAATAAATGTAACGACCGGTCTTTGCTATCTGCTTTGGAACGTAAATACCTCGGGAATTGACATTAAGGAGTTTAATAAACGTTACTTATGTTATTGCCATTGGAGATATAACTTATTGTACGCATTACAAATAACAATGTTGCCAGAATATTAAACGCTACCCTTTATCTTCTCCCTTTATGTTAACGACAATAGTACCTCTATTGTCTATTATCTTTATTTAGCTTGAAATAAAACGGACCAGATCGCTTTCACGCTATTCTAAAGCCTACTTCTGAATAACACCCACGCAAGATTCTCTTGTACTTGAGTAAATATTCATCGGTGTCTACTCTGCCGACAAATAACCAGGCTTTGGGTACCATTAGTCAAATTATAACAAAGCTGAGCTCAAGAATTATTGTTATTAGTACAAGTTTACAATTTTGACAATTATATTTATGGTTAAAGATGTATGACAATTTTTAGTTGGAAAATATTGTCATATATTTCAAAACATAAATATTATTTCTTAATTTTTGGACGTAAAATGATTTTTCAGAAAAATTAAAAATTATATATGAAAACACACCATTTTTGACAAAATATCACAGTTTTCCTGATTTTTTAGGATTTTTGTCGATGAATAAAATTTTTTTCAGAAAAATCAATAAATGTTATCTTAAAAAAGACATTTCAACGAATAATAATACCTATAACAAGTTTGATTTTGATCACGGGAAATTATTTGAAAGTAACTTTCGTTTTTTATGATTTTTTTAATGAATAAAATTTTTTTCAGAAAAAAATTCTAATCCTAAGCTAACTATAGATAAAAATTGATGAGAATCTTTTTTGTAAAGAATTAAATTTCCTTGAAAAAATGTATTTTTATAATTTTTTTAAATATCTTCAATACTTTGTCCAAAAATTGAGATCAAAGTTTGATAAAAAAATTTTTATAGAATTTTTGTGATGTAATTTATGAATAGTGATAAAATTTTAATAAAAATAGGAATTAAATTCTTACAAATAAATGCGCGAAGCATAAAAATTGGTATTAAGCCTGGCATGAATAAAATTAATAAAGTTAATAAAATGAATAAAAATGAATTGCATTAGTGATTATTAAAACGAAAGAGGTGATACCATTGAATATGAAATTGGCCAATTAAATAAAAAGTTATGACCGATTAATTCGAAATTGAAATGGTGATAATTGGATGGAAGGTTGACTTATTGGTTGCTAGCCCCTCAGGCGACTTACTAACTTATTTAATATTTAATAGTCGATAAATCGATGGACAACGAATCTTATGCGGTAAGAAAAATTCAACCAAAAGAAAATAAATAAAAATATTAAGTGAATTAATAGAATGACATTCATCACGGCAATCTCATCCTTATTAAGACGTAAACAAGATGTCAATATACACCAGAGGACAAAAATCTCGAATCTTATATATAGATCTATATATGTATATAATACCGCGGTCTCGATAATCGTTAAGTATAATTTCCCTGTCGTTCATGAGAACCGAGCGGTTAAACCTGCTAAGATTTATCTGATCGATGAAAATACGCGTGAGTTACGATCGATCGCATACATATAAATGCGGTATTTTATTTATTATTATTCCTCGCTTCTTTATTTATTTATTTATTTATTCCCTTTTTCCCTTTTTTTGTTTTGTTTACTTACGACGAGTCCAGCGTATAACGACCGAGAGTAAAAGCATGATTTGCAAGATGTCATGGGGTCAACAGTTAATACTTATTCTGTACTTTTTTCGTGATTACAACTTATTTTCGGTGTATATAATCTCTTTATAATTTTATACAACGTTAACTTAAGTTTGTAATTGTGAATTTATCAAAAAAAAAATTTTTTTCACAAAAAAAAATCCGAAAAAACTAACAATACTTTCTCCACGCATAAGGCATGCAATTAATGAGTGATATAACAGAACGCGTTGATCAGCGGATAACAGGAGATCCGTATCCGTTGGATATCCCTGATTTATTATCGACTCGAAGATAAGTATCTGGTCCGTCCTCGTGTCGCAATCCAGCCAATTTATGTACTATAGAATATACATTTATACTTTGCAATCTAACAATATATATTTCCACCGACATAACCTTGGGTTGATAACTTTTAGGTTAGTTTTGTTTTGCTTATGCTCATTGATATAGAATAAAAAAAAATAATCGAACAAGTAAAATGAAAAGAACATAAATACCGGCATTGTATTGTACATTGTGTACATTTCATTACATTACTCTCCTTAGCTTTAAACGCGTATGCTAAATAAATAAATAAATAAGAGAGCAATCAAACGAATAGATTTATGCGCGCGTATATATCAACTCCGGACAGGGTGCACGTGTATTATTTTGTCGAGGCTCTATAACTCTAGGTTATTTATCTCCTAGTGTAGCAAGGACCTCGGGTGACGGAGATAAAAAGACCGTGTCTGTATATATATTAAATGATAAAGACGAGTCATATCGAGGCGAGATATTCAACCGCGATCGCAAGAACCTCTGCAAGAAGCAACTCATCAACGGCCGCCGCTTAACGAGATAAACCTAAAAAGAGGAGGTATTAATTGCCTTGGGAGGATTGTAAATCAAATTAAATGACAGTTCGGTAGCCATTGAGACAGAGATATGGGTAAATGGACCTTTTTATGGATGGTATGCGCTCGCCACCATTTTAAAACGAATTCCTTCAGGCGGGTTTGCAAGATCGGTTTTTTTGTTATTTCTTGGGAATTTTTTTATCAACAAAATTTTTTTTATTAAAATTGTTGGTACTGTTTTAAAGAAGACATTTAAACAGACTGAATGACCTATAATACTATAATAAAAGGTATTTTCGTCAAAATATTCCTCCAAAAGGGAAGAGAGAAAATTAAAAGTAATCTTTGTTCGAATTCGTCAGTTTAAATAGGTATCTTTAGTTTTTTGGGATTTTTTTGATGAGAAAAATTTTTTAAGATTCTTTCTACATTACGACTGTCTCAGGCTCGAATTTTCTCTCTAAGCACCTCAGTCAATCGTCCCTGATGATAAATTAGTCAGCGACAGAGTGTGGGAGGGTTGAATAATTAGCTAACTCGAAAGAGGCGAGAGTCGAAGATTAACAAGAGTATCGAGGGTTGTAGAAAGCTAATTAATCCTCTTGAAGGTTAATTACCCACTAATACTAAATTTCCTACGCAAATACTCAAGTATCAAATTTTCGATTTCAGGAAGCAGAGAAGCCGCATTTACCTACGCGATAAGCTCCGCAGGCGTGACTTACGCAGTTACCGCGGCTTGTAGCCGCGGAAACATCACGGCTTGCGGCTGCGAGCCCACTGTAAGGTAAGTTATCAAATTATCAATTACAAGTGTTCAATTCTAACGCTAAAAAATTTTCCAGGACCAGAAAAGCGTCTCCACCTAGCGGATGGGAATGGGGCGGCTGTTCTGCGGACGTAACCTACGGCATGAGGTAAGTTACAAGATTTGTTTCTTCTTTCTAACCTAAAATGCCTTCTTTTTTTTTTTTTTTTTTTTTTTTTTTTTTTAAATAATAACACAATTATTGGAACAAATGTCTGAATAATCTAGGTTCGCGCGTAGGTTCCTCGACGCCCGGGAGGTGGAAGGAGATGCAAGGAGTCTGATGAATCTGCATAACAACAAGGCCGGAAGAAAGGTGAGTTTTACAAAATAAATAAATAAATAAATCTTGTATGGTTATCGGCAAATCTAAAACACTCAACATTTATATTGTATTTTGTACTTTGTATGGCAATGTTATGAGTCATTAATGACGATTCGCCACGATTTCCTTCAATTACACTGTAAATCGATCTTACGGATAATAACAGGTATACTAGTTCAACCGTATAACAGCCACTGGATATCTCTCAATCGAGATCGGTTACAAGTTGTACAACAACTTACAACTCACTCTATATTTACAATTCTTCTTGCTAATTCTCTAGAATGATAATGAAATTTTATTCTTTTGCCTTTAATTTAAATAAAATCAACAAAGCTATTGTTAATTTTTATTTCTCGATGAATGGACTGTAATTGGGTCTTTGTTTCAGATCGTTAAGGCCATGCTGCAAACGGAATGCAAATGTCACGGGGTGTCGGGTTCCTGCACGGTTAGGACTTGCTGGCGAACTTTGCCCAACTTCAGGCAAATTGGGGACGCTTTGATGAAGAAATACTACCGAGCTAGGCCTGTTATGGCTATCACCCCTCCATCATCCCCTACTTTGACAATTCAGGTATAATTGCTAGTTAAAAAAATTTTTTTGGTATTTAAATTAAGTATTATTTGACAATTTATTAAGTTTTAAACTTTTAAACCACTTTTTTGTCCTTAAAACTGAATTTAGTGACCTTGGAAGCCATTTTGTTGACTTTGTTACGTTTTAATCTTAAAATGGCGCTAATTGACAATTGGCGCGAAATTTAAACTTATTCAAAATTACAATTTGGTATTTAAAAAAAATCTAGTGACTTAGGAAGCCATTTTGTTGGCTTAATTACGTTTTAATACTAAAATGGCGCGAGTTTAGAATTGGCGCGAAATTAAATGATATTTAAAATTAAAATTTGGTATTTAAAAAAATTCTAGACTTATTTTTTTTTTTTAGTAAATCATTAGTAATAAATTTAAAAGAGAAAGAGAATAATTTAAAATCTAGATGATTAAAACTACCATAAAAATTTAAATCCGCGTGGGAGTTGTTCATATCTGCGTATGCAAATACGTTTGCTGAGACAATAAATTGAGACCACGCATCCTGTTATTTCTTAATCTTTAACAAAATGAGAATAAAAAAAATAATTGAGAAAAGCCTAACAATGCGTTGATTTGTTTAAGAACTCGGATTATCTGGATCAATCATCGATAGAAGTGGTCCCTATTATGGGAAACGAGGCAAAGTCCCACGGGAAGCCTAACGAGATTAGCTCCAATGGCAGGACAGATCGAAGGTCTTTGAAGAAATCCGGAAACGGAAAACGAGCGCATCTAATTTTAAAACGGACAAAAGTTAACAGCGGACCTGGGATCAGCCAAAAGAGGATTCCCAAAAGAAGCGAGCTCGTCTTTCTTCAGCCCTCGCCCAATTATTGCGAGCCGGACTTAACTCAAGGAAGTCTCGGCACCCAGGGGAGATCTTGCAATCGAACTAGCAAAGGTACCTTCACTTTTTTTTGTTAAAGACTTAATATATCCGAGACAAGAGTTAATCTTGTTTTTCAATACATTTTTAGAGTTTAAACTCTCTTCTGGTTGACTAAAGAATGTGATTTGATTTTTTTTTAAGTTTAATTAAAGTTATTTAGAGAATTTAGTGGAATTTTTTTAACTATTGATTTTTTTCGGGATTTTAAAGTGAAAATTTTATTTTTTACTAAAAATGTCTTGGGATTTTTTAAGATTTTTTTCATTAAAGTCATTGGTACTACCTTTAAGTAGACATCTTAACGAACAAAATGAGCTATAACAAAAGTACTTTCCATCTATATTTTCAATATTTCTTCCGTAACTTAAAAAATTTGACACCACTAATTATTATTTTGAGATATTAAATGAATATAAGTTCTCTATTCTAGTTCATTTAATAAATAATTTTTTTCCTAGGGACAGATGGATGCGATTTAATGTGCTGTGGCCGAGGATACAACACCCACCAGTACACAAAAACCTGGCAGTGCAGATGCAAGTTCCACTGGTGCTGTCGCGTCTTTTGCGACACCTGTACAGAGCGTACCGAGGAGTACACTTGCAAATAATCCACCCTAGCTTTCATAATTATATATATGTAACCTAGAAAATTATCGGCGATAATTTTCTCATGACACGGCTGTACAATAATTGCGTTTAATATAATCTTTATATTATATTCCCGGTAATAATTATTATTACTATTTTTTCTATGTACCTATAGTTTTAATTCGTAAATTAATGCAACTGTACTTATTAATATTATTTTATTATTTATTAATGCATATAATTTAAATTATACTCGGCTATGTAATGTGTAATTGTATATCTCTGAAATAAATCACTTTTGTATGACAATCTTTGTGATTTTCTATTTGTGTTTTGTATTTTGTAAAGTGGGTCTCCACTTAAGCTAATCCTATTTTCAGGTAATTTTTTTTTTATTTTACTTTCAAGGAATTCATCCGGGCGAGGGTTGTATTCTTATCTGGGGTTATTTTGTTAATCTGTTATTATTATATAGGTAAACAGTGTTTCTTTTTAAAATTTGTACTTATAAGTATATTTTTAGTTTTTAAAACTTGAGTAAATATTTTAAAATTTTTGAGGAAATATTTTTGTCTGAAATTTTTAAATTTACTTAAATAATTATTATTTGTTTTTAAGCAATTTTTTTTTTAATATTAAATTTGATATTTTATTTTTTTTAATTAAAAAAAGATTTTTTTTTTTATAAAATTTTCTTTATAAAAAATAAAAAATAATTTTTTTTTAATTTACTTTAAAAATATTACCTCAAAAAAAATTTCAATAAAAAAATAAAAAAACAAAAAAAAAAATCACATTCGCTTACCGACACCACAGTCACTCATCGTTCATCTTCAATCACAGCATTCACTCTAAATTAAAAAGAGTTTAAAATCTTGGAGGCTTCCTGCTTGGCTTTCTGATCGTCGTCGTTCTTGGCAGGAAACTCCGCAGTCATCTTCAGGAACTTTATCGCATCGTCCTTGCGATCCAATTTCAGGTAAGTCTTCCCTAAGAGCAGAAGGTTGTGGCTGTAGAACAGCGGATCTGCTTTTTCAGCAGCCTCCAGGTACTGCAGCGCTTCTTCGAAAGAGGAGTCCGGAACCTTTCCGAAAATTGCCGAGGCGATTTTCTTTTGGTACCACGCCAAGTCGGCGACAGAGTAACACCAGTTGCCTAGCATGTACAGTGTTGTTGCGTCGTTTGGGTTTAGTTGACTTGCTGCCTGAAAATTAAATTTATTTATTAAATAATGACTATGGTTAAATTGCACTATACTTTCTAAAATATTGACATTTATAAAAATATAAGCTCATCTTGATGTTACACTCAGCAAGAGCTCTCATTCAAGTACCCACATGACATTTTTTATATATTTTTCATATATACATATATATAATATATATAAATATATGAAAAAGCATGTGGGTACTCAAATTGAAAGGTCTTGACGAGTGTAACATCAGGATGAGCTTATATCTTGAAAAATGTCAATAGGTCACAAGATAAAAGGTCATTTCTTAATTTCTTAATAATATAGATTAAAATAAAAATTACCAGCATATGTTCCTTTACAACATTCAATGTTTTAATTTTTTCTTTCATCCCTTCATAATTAGTCTTGCTGTCAATCAAAATCGCGGTCCATTTATGAACAGCCCAGTGTTTGTCATCTATAGCAGCAGCTTCAGTGATGAGATTATAAGCGTCATAAATTAGTTTTTTAGCTTCAACATCACTAGCTGTCTTTGACATATTATAAAGAGCTCTTGCGAGTCGCCATAAAACTTCAACATCTTTTGAATCCTAAAAAATTAATTTTACATTTTTTAATATTTAATTCAAAAAATTAAATTTAATTTAAAAAATTAAATTAATATACATACTCTAAGTTGATCCAAAATATCCCGGACTTTGCTATACTCCCGATTTTCATACAACGCGTCAACTTTTGCAAACAAAGCATTTCTAGACTTAGTAGAGCTTATATCCAGGTCATCTTTTTTTGCAAAGCCCCAAAGTCCAAGAGATATTATTGGTAATGGAGCTGGAAGTGTTTTTACAGGAAAATATTTCTGGAAAAATAGAAAAAATAATTTATTAATGTCAGTAATAATAAAAAAAAATTAATTAAATAATTGAAAAAAAAAAAAAAATTATTTTATTAAAAATAATTATTTTTATAAAAAGTAATTATTTTTATTAAAAATAATTATTTCCGACATTTAATTTCTTTAGATGAATAAAAGAATTAAAAAATTACTTTAAAAAAGATGAACGGTAAGCCATTAAAAGAAATACGGGAGCTATAAGATCTTGCCAGCCGTAAGATTCTTTGAAAGATCATTTTAAAGTTATCTTTTATTCAATAATTCTTATTGTAATGATTAATTGTTGAAATTAAAAGTATTAAAATCAACAAGTGACAGGTGTATATTATTTCTCAGTTGTATTGGTTGGGATTGTTGTGACAAGTGATATGACGCAGCAGAAGCGGACTGAGAAATGAACTCGGGCCGCCATCTTGTGCGCAATGACGCAGCAGTCCTTTTTCTTTTAACTGACGGTTGGGAAGTTATCGACCGCGAAAATTTAAATTTTCAAAGTTTTCAACTAACGATTAAAACGGATTTTTTTGTAGAAAATTTTTTACGCTTAAGCGTCGGATGCTGGTCAATTGACTGAAGATTATAACTTAAATTTTTTTTTTAAATTAATTTACAAATTAGGAAATTAATTTTTGTAAATATATTTTAAGGAAAGATATTGTTTAAGCTAGAGTTTTTTAAACTTTTCTTTTTTTTAAATTTCTCGGTATTAAAATTCAACTTGTTATAGCTTATTTTATTTGTTGAAATGTCTACTTTAAGGTACATTAATTTATTTTTCTCAAAAAAATTTATTTCCTTGAAGAAATCCTAAAAAATCAAAGAAACTTTGAAAAACTGCTATAATAGGCAAAAATCAATTTTTTTAATTTTCAATATTTAATTTTTTTAACTTCCTGATATCAAAATTCATCTTATAATAGCTTATTTTATTCGTTAGAATGTCTTCTTTAAGGTTCATGCATTGAATTTTCTAAAAAAAATTTATTTTATAGAAAAAAATCCTAAAAAATCAAAGAAACTTTGGAAAATTGTCATAATAGGCATAAATTCAGTTATCTTATTTTCAAAATTTAATTTTTTCAACTTTCCTCTACCAAAATTCATTTCATTATAGCTTATTTTATTCGTTGAAATGTCTTCTTTGAGGTACATGCATTGATTTTTCTAAAAAAAATTTCATTCATTAAAAACATCCTAAAAAATCATTGTACTTTTTAGTTATCTTAAAAACGAAAGAAAATTCGTTTCTTTTTCCTAACAGTGACTAAAACAATAAAATTTTCATAAAAAAAAAGATAAATTTTCCTTAAAAGTAATCAATCTAAAACTAATCCGACTCTTGTGGGGCAAAATGACCCATATATAGATGTACATAATAGATGAATAAAAAGAAGAATAGAACTACCTGCGCCGGGTCTCTTCTCTTCTATTCGGCATACGACTGCAGGCACATTGCGACAGCCTTGAGTAGGGTGGCTAGGTAGTTCTCTGGGGGGTGGTGGGAGGCCATTGAACGCGAAGGGTAAATTCGCGCACAAACGCTCTGCGGCGCATCTGAACAGAGACGGAAAATCTTTCTGCAGCATCCGCCTGCTCGCTCTTATTCACGTGGCTCCTCAGGATAATATCACACTCTCTCTTCTCGTATCACCGCCGAGTCTACCTCAGTGCTGGTAAAGTTCACCCCGAAGCCGGGTCGCAATTTTTATCCTTTATATTTTGCGTAATTATTTTATTTTCCCCACTCTTGCTCAATTATTCCCAAATAATTTATTTTTTCTCTTTCAAACCCTGGAAAAAAAATTATTTTTTCCATTTTTTTTAATTAATTTTATTTTATTTTGCTCTAATTAAGCGACCAATTAATTGCAAGGGTTATTAAATGTCTTTGGTCCAGTACTCGAGTTCACAATTACAGAAAAAGTGAGTGTGGAGTCTATTTATATAAATTTAATATTAAAGTGAATTTTTTTTTTTTTAAATAATTATTAATTTTTAATAATAGAGTGATTAATATTCAAAGATAATCCGTTCGACATTTATATTTTTCTATGACGAATTCTTGCGTTACGTGACCAAATTGGCAACGATGTCTAGTGGACAAAAGGATTCACGTTATGCATACATCGCGTGTCCTTTGCATGACTCCGGTAAGTATTTATTTATTTACTTTATTTATTTATTATTGATCTGTTTGTTTATTTTTATTAAAGGTCAACTGTGCTTTTTAAATACAGTTGATAATTATAATTAATTTTTTTTTAAAAATAATTTACCTGAAACGACATCTGTAAATAGTATATTTAACTATTTAAGTAAACGGGATTTTTTTTTGGGCATTAGAGAGGTTGCGCATCGAGCAGAGAGTGTGTTCTGAAAAACGAATACAGAAAAAAATGATTAAATATTGATGGTTTTAAAGATATAAGCTCATTTTGATGTTACATTTATCAAGAGCTTTCATTCGAGTACCCACATCCAATTTTGATATATTTTTCATATATACATATATATAATATATATAAATATATTAAATATATTAAAAAAAATTGATGTGGGTACTCAAATGAAAGGTCTCGATGAGTGTAACATCAGGATGAGCTTATATCTTTAAAAATGTCAATAGTTCACGAGATACAAGGTCATTTCATAATTATTCTCTTAATAATATAGAAAATTATTGTTAAAATTTAATTTTGAAACAGTGTAAAATAACAAATTTATCCGGATAATTAATAATACTAATAAATACCCAATAATATTTTTTACAGACATAATTATCTAATAATTTGAACTACTGCCAAAAATTTAAATTAAGATTGTAATTAAAAAAGAAATAATGTTAAAAATAGTTGATAATTAGACATGATTAATAAACCTGAATTAATTAACAAGCTCTTAAAATAATTACAATGATTAATTATATAAATTAAATTTTAATTTTTGGAAGACGTTTTAAGAATTAAAATTAATTTATCTCACGCTCTTATCACAAAAGCTCTTAATAAAATTATTAAATAATGTTAATTATTTATTCCAAGTGGAGGATTTAAAGTGACATTTACTTTTCGGAAGTTAGAAGAGCTACAAGTTGGATATTAAGCTATTTATTTATCGCACCCGGCAACTCGCCAACGGGAAGTGATAGAGTCTGGTTAAGGTCACACTTAAACTTGCATTTATCAATTTTTTTTTTTTTGTTATCGTTTTAATTATATTATTAAATAATAATCAATTCAAAATTGATTATATAAGACGGTAAAATTTTGAGAATTTTCTATAAAAAAATATCTTATGATTTTTTTTTTTTTTTGATATTTAATCCACAATTTTAAATTTAAAATTATATTAAAAATTTAGATAACTAAACTATTTTTTTATAGTAATAAAAATAAATTTTTATACTGAATAAAAAAATTATTAAAAAATTTAAACAGCGGAAGTAAAAAGAAAAAAAAATCTTGAAACGTTTTTTCAGTATTTGAAAACTTTCAACAAAACAATGTCATGCATTTTAAAAGCTTTTAAGTCAAGAGCTTATATTTGCAGCTTTGTTTAAATCTACTTCTGTAAAGCTTTCAATGCTTTGAGATATTTATATTTTTATTTGAAAGTTAAAAAATAAAATAAAATAAAATGTTAAGTCACAGAGTGAGGATTGTTGATTATAAAGCGACAGATAATGATTCTTTGATTCTTATTTATAGTTACATACTTTGACAGAATAATAAATGACTAAAATATAGAAGAGAAGAAGAGAATAATAATATGAGGTGTATTATTAAAAGCTATTGAACTGTACTGTAGCACAAAGCTCAGCTTACGAGCTTTCAAGTCACGGTGTTACGGTCAAGGTAAAATAAATGTATGAGCTGAGTTCAATGGCGGAGATGGCCTCGTTGATATACATATCACAATATATTGCTATATGTTTAGTCACGAGAGACTAATGAAAAAAATTGGCTGTGCTCATTTCGGATTTTTTAAACTTATGAGATTCCAAACGGAGATTTATATTACTTCCGGCGAGTGACATTTTGGCAAGCTTACATTTATTTATACTGATAATAATAAAAATAAATTGATTTTTAAAGTACCTATTGAATCTCACGCTCGATTAAATTATTTCAAAGTTTTTTGGATTTTATTTTTATTTATTTTCTGGAAAATCTTTCAATATTGTTTTTTAGAATTTATTTTTTAAAAATTAAATTTTTATTAAAATTTTAAATTCAAAATTATGGAAAAATATAAAAAATAAAAAAAAATTAATAAAAATTATTATTATTATTAAAAATTAACTAATTAAAAAAAATATTGAATGTTGATAATTTTTTAAATTATTATTATTATTATTATTAAAAATTAACTAATTAAAAAAAATTTTGAATGTTAATAATTTAAAAAATTATTATTACAATTTATAAAATTTTAATTAAACTTTTACATGATCAATATTAAAGTCTCAAGGGAAATAAATTTATCCTAAAACTTTAACACTAGATAAAATTTAAAAAAAACTATTTTTGTTGAATATGATAAAAATAAGTAAGTTAATTATTCAGACGAATTACAAAAGTTGTTATAAAAACCTTGTGGTATTTATAAGTATTTACCGTGTTGATCTATTATTAAATAAATTTATTTTAGTTTTCACACTCTTGCCAAATATATACGTAATATGTCTCTAAGGGTGGATTATCATATTTACGTATTATTATAAATTTATGTATGCTATTATTGAGTTATAATAATAATAATATTATTATAACGGAGAGAAAAGCTCGGAAATATGATATATATTATATACACGTAAGGACATTTATGAGGTGTCAAGTTATTGTCGAGTTTACTCGGTTGTTTCAAATGTCCAGAGATTGTATGTGACTTATATTAACAGTGACTGACAATCCTCGGTTAATGTTTATTTTATTCATATTTTATCGGATTAAATTTCTTTAAGAATTAATTTATATTATTGAGAGAATAAGATTTTTTTTTCTTGATACATAATTAAGAAATGACCCTGTATCTCGTGAACTAATGTAATGTAATGTAATGTAATTTATTAACTGGCTATAGGACAATGTCCCCTAATAGCCAAAAGATACATAAAGTATTACAGAGTGTGTGAGAAATTTAAGTAATAGTATATAATATAAAAAGTAGTAGATAATGAGATATACATATATATATAGAGAATAAATATTGACAATTTTAAAGATATAAGCTCATTTTGATGTTACACTTGTCAAGAGCTTTCATTTGAGTACCCACATCAATTTTTGATATATTTTTCATATATACAAGTATATAGAATATATGAAAAATTGATGTGGGTACTCAAATGAAAGCTCTTGACAAGTGTAACATCAAAATGAGCTTATATCTTTAAAATTGTCAATATTTAAGAAAGTACAGTGTAATTTAACAAAAGCCTATTTAATAAACCAAAATTTTATTATTTATTTATTTATAGCTCTACGGCAGTCACATTGTGATAATAATAATAATTTTTAATAATAAATAATAAATTTAATTAAAAATTTTTTTTTAAAACAATAAAACAATCCCTAAAAAATTTTCCAGTGAAAGCTCTATAAATTATCTTTGAACGCATCTCGAGGTCTGATTGTCAGACGAAGGTATAACGTAAATCGACCACGTGAGTTTCCCCACTTTTTAAATTAACCTGAGAGTCGCGACGAGTGTTTCTCAGTACGAGGACGTTCCTCGTCCAGGTAACTGGCCAACATCCTCAATAGTCCTTTTTTACAATTTTAAATAAATAACTATCCAACCCTAACTTTAAAACTTAAAAAGAAAAAAAATTACTTTTTCTTCTTAAGTGACTTGTCTTCATAAATATTAAATCCTTATCGACGTAACTTTATAAACAAAACCGGGGTTTAAATAATAAAAACTTATCGAGCAATCCAACCCTTGCAGACATTGCAAACAATTATTATAAAAACAATAATAATTATTGTTGTTGTTGTTAATGACGAGCAATATCGGGTGCCAATTTTAGAGTGAAAAAATTAAAAAAATGTGGCCTTGGCTCGCTCGCCGGGAGTTTTGTAATTAAAAATAGAAATTTACGCATTAAATAAAAATAAAAATAAATAATAATAATAATAATAATAAAACGCACCACAATGAATTTGATGTTCCGCAAGAACTTTAGTGCCGAGAAAGCTTCGAGCGGTGAAACACGCACCGGCATTACAGGCGTTTACGGTCCCTGCGCTCCTACAGGAACAAGCGGAACAAGTGTTCTCGGGCCAGGGGGCGCCAGGCTCGGAATTCGCCCGAGTATCGGAACCGCGGGGGGCCGTGGTCCAATCAGAAGAAGCCGGGAATTCGGATACTCTCCGATGGACGACCACCCTACTCACGCGTACAGAACTCATCTGTTTCTTTCTCCGCCGTCAGGTGCCGTCGAGGAACCCGCGGAACGGATTGGCCCTGGACCCAGGAGGAGTTCCTCTTCTCATGTCGTGAAATGGGGCGGCGGGAACATCAACACTGCTGGGAACAATAATAGTGTTAGCAATAATAATAGTGGTAATATCAATATTAATCTTGGAACCAAACGGAAACAGAGCAATCAGATCAAGGACATCTCGGAACCTCCCACTCCCACTGCTTCCAGACAGGTATGTATCGATTTATTTTTTTAACTCTGATTTATTCCTCTTTTTTTTTTTATGCTTTTAGAGTTTTTATTCTTCTTGATATTGGAGATAAAAAATTATAAAAGACCTTTTTTATCAGAAATTTTAGTCCCTAAATAAAGTTTCTTATAATTTTTTTGTTTCTTTTTGGTAATTAAAAAATTAAAATACTGGATTAAATATTAAAGGTATGAGAAATATATGAGACCTTTTTATGAAAATAAAATTAGCCGACATCTAAAAATTTTTATGATTTTTTCTATTAAAAAATTATTACAAAAAACTAAAAAAAATTTTTTTTCAATCGTTAAAAAATTATAAGTGCAATTTTTAAAAAATATTCTTTAGTTATAATTTAATAAAAATAAAAAATGTCGGCTAACTTTATTATTGTGACCTTTTTTGGAATTTTATTCTCTATAAAAAAGGATTCTTATTTTTTTGTATCAATATTTTAGCCAAAAATCATTTAAAAAATTTTTTTTAAACTAGGAATGAATTTTATTAATTAATTTTTGAGCTTTTAATTCAAATTTTGAAGAAAAAATTAGATATAGGGAAAAATTTATGACTTGTTTTGTAGGAAATTTAATTCTCTATAAAAATTAATTTTTATCATTTTTTTGTATCAATATTTTAGCCAAAAATAATTTTTTAAACTTTTGAAAACTAGGGATATCTATAATTTAATTTTTGAGCTTTAAATTCAAATTTTGAAGAAAAAATTAGAGGAAAAAATTTATTAGGACCTTTTTTGTAGGAAATTAAATTTTCTACACTGATAGAAGGATTTATCAATTATTAATAATTTAATTTATTCGAAGACAATTATTTAATTTATTAAATTTTAATAAATATATTTTAACAATTAACTATAATGATAAATATTCATTAACCATTAATAAATATTTATCAAATCCTATGATGTTAAAAAATCATTTATTAACAGTTAATAAAGCTTATTAAATATGAAAAAATCTGGGCCCATAACCTGCACTGATAGAAGGATTTGTTTATATTTAATAAGCTTTATTAACTGTTAACAAATGATTTTTTAACAAAGGATTTAATAAATATTTATTAACAGTTAATAAATTATTTATTAAATGTTAATAAATATTTGTTAGTTAACAAGATTATTGTTATTGAACAAGACTAGACTATTAAATTTAACTCATCTTTGAACTTGACCAAGCTAACGGCAATGAGAATAAGTGTAACAAGTTTCATTAAGCCACCGAGAATTGAGAACCGTACAGTAATAGCGTTATTATTAGAAACTGAGGTCAACTTAAAACTCTAGATCCACAATTAAAAAACTAAGCAAAAGTGATGATAAGTGAATTAAGGAGAATTTAAAAAGTTGTCAGGAATATTTATATTTGTTCCTAGAGACAAAAATAGCCTGAATTGTTAATTTAAACACACACGGATCTAATCGATTTCAGATCTGTGAATTATCCAAGACTGTCACGTAGTTCCAAAAACAAATTGCCCTTTTATTTCTGGGATTTATATTACCTAACTCGCTTGGAAACATAATAATCATTCTATATGTAACTTAATCTTTATATCAGACGCGCTTTATGCGACAGACGTGCAATGCTGCATAATAATCTTTTTAAGCACGACTTTTGTGGTTTAACTATATACCATAAAATCATTACCCTTCATACATATATTATGATTATAATAAAAAATGTAGTAATAATAATTTTTTTAGAATAATGGAAATTTTCTATTAATAATAGAATTTTTAATAGATTAATGAAACTTTCTAATAATAATAAAATTTATGTGATATTCTTCACTTAAAATTTTATTATTATTATTATTATTAAAATTTTGTCTCATAAAAAAAAGATTGGCCAAAAAACTTAAAAGTAAGTGAAATAAATAAATTTCAAAGGACATTTATCTGTAGTGTGTCATAATAACTCACCAAGTTGCTCGTAGATTTTATCGACTCGATAGTGTTGTGTAGTTATAGCATGTAATCTATTCTACATAGCCGTATGACTTGCATACATATATATATGTACCATTACATGGATCGTAAAGTTTATGTACACGTGAACTCGTTTAAATATTCATATGCTGGTAAGCCTCAACGCTTTTACCTCGTCAAGGTGAATCTAAAATCTTCACCAGAGTATATCCAGCTCACCGGGTGTTTCTCCAACAAAATATCCGGGCTTTTACATCTTTATATTTTCATCATTTAATCTCGGAAAGGAGATTTTAATGAAACTTTTATGATTGTAGGTGTCATTCAGTGGGAGGACGGGAGGAATATACACTCCGTTGGTAGTTTCTGGTAATAGTCCGCCAAGAGGAGAGCCAATATCACTTGCGACTCTCGATCGTGACTGTTTTATCATTCCTTTGGCTTCTGTCGAGCGTTTTCTTCCAGCTGGTGTTCCGGTAATTTATCACTTTCTTCTTTTATTATTTTTTTTTTCAATAAAAATGTCTTATAGTATTTTTAGGGTACAATTTTATAATAAATAACGATTCTTTATCATTTATAATAATTAAGGAGATCCAAGTACCCTCCAAGTGTAATAAATGTCTATAAAAAAAAAATACTTTTATCTTAAAATTAATTTTAAAAAATTAATAACATTTTTGAGGAAATTTCCGAAAAATTTACTCATTAAATAATTATTAACATTTAATTATCTACAAATCATTTTTAAATTTGCCGCGCTTGGTATTACAAGCCTCCATTTTGTGGCGCGAGAATTACAGCCACCATCTTGTCGAATACTGTTGACAATCTCTTTTTTTTATGATTTCTAATGAATTAGTCTTTTATAAAACAATTTTATGCAATAAAAACTTGAAGAATTATTTTTTTCTAAAGAAAAATTTATATTGATAATTCTACTAGTTAAAAAAAATTTTTTTTTTAAATAAATTAGTGATAAAAAATTGCATTAATAATTTTAAAAATTTTTTTTATTAAAAAAATTTGAAAATATCTTTTAAAATAATTGTAAAAAACGAAAACTAATGTTATAGGTTATGTAATAACTTACTGGGAGTGTTGGCTCACGAATGTTGTATTTATAGCACGCGCCAATAGCAGATAAAAAGAAGCCAGGAAGTCCGCTGTCGGTGTTGGAAGTCGAAGATCCAAAACAATGTGTCTTGGCGCACTTGATGACGCCTTTGGAGCCGCTTGATCCTATCGTCGAGTCACCAATTGCAATGCCGCTGGTACTGCAGCGGGATACCGCTGCTGAACTGATTGCAGAGATAGCGCCATCTGCGTCTCAGAGCATTTTGTTGACCAACATGGAGCGGAACGGTAACATTTTTTATTAAATACTCACTTAACCTCACAAATCTAAAAAATTAATTCAATTAGAATTTTAATTAAATATTTCAACTGTCCACTAACCTCAAAATTAAAAACTCTTCACTTATCTTAAAAAAAGATTTTTTTTAATAACTTTAATTTTATTTTATTCCAGCGGATTTTCCATTTATAACATATTATTTAATAAACAAGCACAACACTGACCCCGCGGATTTTTACCAAGAAGTCCAATGCGCAGCACTAAGAAAATTTGACCCCCGAGATCTCCGTTACGCTGCGAGTCACACGTTAGACTTGTTCAATGAAGTCGCAACGATAGCCAGGCCGCCATTGGAGCCTCCTGGTGGCAGACCACCAATCCCGTCCACTGGATACATCGTTTCCATATTCAAAGTCTTCGAGGGCGATGATAGTCTCAAGTTTGAGCAAAATTGGCTCTACTGGACCGGTAAAAATTTTTTAACTAACTTACCGACTGTCGGTAATCATTAATATCATTTATAATTATTATTAGGTATCAATTTATTATTTTATTAATTTGTTATAATTTATTTCTAATATTATTATTTACATTACAGGAGCAAGGATGATTTATCGGTACCTCCCAAAATCCGTAGGACTAAAGCGGATCACACTTCACAAATCAATGTCTCAAGGAGACAAAATGTATATGTTAATCTGCGAGTGCTCGCAATTGCAAGACAACTTATCAGCAGCAGCCATTTTATTACCGGCTCTAAGAGCGCGGCTCTGTGGGTACACAGGACTTTATCGACCGTCGGTATGCTTCTGACTCGGGAGCAAGAACAAAAAAAAATAAAATGCTATTTTTTTGTCTAGTTAAGAATATTTTTTACCGACTGCACAGCTAATTAATTTATCAACTAATTAATTATTCAATTAATTAACTAACCATGGTTAATTAATTTGTCGGTAAAAAATATTTTTGTCGGCAGCAAAATTTTCTATCTTTCATTCCAGTTTTTTAAATTAATGGCTTTAAATATTTTTTTGTAAAATTTGTTATTATTATCGACTGTCAGTGAAAATTTTTATCAACTAAATTTATTTTTTCACTCCCAAAAAAATTTTGTTTTCAAATTTAAATATCAAAAAATTAAAACAGGAATTTATTGTAACCATTTTTTAAAAACAACTTACCGACAATCGGTAAGAATTTTCTCTGACAGTTGGTAAATTTTTTTTATCAACCTGTAAAAAAATTTCCTCTTAAAATATTATCGACCTAAGATAAAATCAACTTTTACCGACAGTAAGTTGGTAAAAAAAATTTCTATCCCACAATTTTTAAAACTAAATTTCAGCTCTATATATTTGTACGAAATTTTCGCAATTTAAATATCGTGCATAATTTTTATCTACGCAACTAAAGTAATATTAAATATTAAATACGTATACGACATATCATATTCAAATAAGCTGTGATATTACTTATCACAATCACGACCATCGCTACTAGGTATTTTACAAAATACAAGTGAATTTACTTAATTGTAATAAATAATAATAATAATGAAAGAGCGACACTTTTTTATAGAACTCCTCTTAGAAAATTTCTGAATAAAATTTTGCATAGTTAAATTTTTCTAGAACAAAAGGCTCAAGATTTTTAGACATTAATTAGACTCATTAATTAAAATTTAATAATTATTAATTAATAATAATGATAATAATAATTAGATACGCGACGCTTGACAATAGTTAGAGATTAATTAATTGAGTTTCTCGTAATAAATAATAAAAAAGGAGTACAGTAGTCACTGATTGTGAAACAAGAGCCCTAATTAAACAAAATTAATCATAAAAATAATTGAAGAGCCTTGATAAATAATAACTGTGATCAAAGTGCATATTATGCATGGTACATAAACACAAACTGTGATTACATGTTTCGAAAAATAATTATCTAACTGTTCTGCCTGTTTATTAATTATGTAATTACTATTAACTATGCTAATAAATAATTATCGACCAATCATTCCTGAGTTTTAGATTTATTTACAATTTTACAAGTTATTTTATTATTATTATTTTATAATAATAATAATTTTATTTAAATGAATAGATTTTTATCAAAAAAAAATTATTAGTATTATAAATAATGATAATATAAATACTTGCTCTTAAAAAATTATTTAATAAATATATAAACTAATAATGATAACGATCCTTTTTTGTTCCAGCGGTTTCCTGAACAAAAATTTTATAAGTTTTATTTAAATATTGTAATTGATTTTGGTAATTGTTTACAAGTGGGGTCTACTATTTTAATTTTCATTTTTTTTTTGAAAATTATATTCAAGATTTAAATTATTAAAAAAATATAAAAGAAACATTGAAAAAAGATAAAATAGAAAGTTACACTCATCAAGAGCTTTCATTCGAGAACGCACAAACATTTTTTATATATTTTTCATATATACATATATATAATATATATAAAATATCTGAAAAATTGATGTGGGTACTCAAATGAAAGGTCTTAATGAGTGTAACATTGGGATGAGCTTATATCTTTAAAAATGTCAATAGTTCACGAGATACAAAGTCATTTCTTAATTATGGATAAAAATTCATTTTATCACATAGACTTGTAAATAATTACCTTAATTTTTTTATTGAAATTTATTATTTTAAATTTACCTTTGCTGGAGAAAAAAATTGCAGATTTTCAGTGGTGAGGATAAAACAATTTTTTTAACAAATTATTGCTTGGGCCCACGAAATCTTCTTCTAGCATCAATCTAAAAAAAAAGAATAATTTATTGTTAAATTCACTATAGATTAATTAAAAAACACTGAGGTTGTATGACATTTGTCAAATTTAATTGGATTGAAAATTTCCAGATCGCAAAAATAAAAAATTATATCCTAAAATGCAATTAATTAATTGTATTTTTTATTCTTTTTATAATAATATGTGAAAGTCAATTTTTTTGCCATAATTTTATGTAAAATTCTTAAAATTATCAAATATCTGCTAAATTAATTTTTATAAAAAATAATTAAATGTCACTATCAAAACTTTACTCACAATAGAACGTTTGCAATCATATAACAGCAAACTCAAAGCTTGACATTCTTGAGGAACACTTCCATCCTTCATATTGAGACATTCTTTAGGAGTTTTTCTTTGCTAAAACATTAAAACCATCTTAATAAATAAATTAATTACTCATATGATGCAATAATAAATAATAAAAAAATAAATTTTAGGTTACTTACTATTTTACAGCAGTCGCTTTCCAACAAACACATTTTTAAGTTAGCTCTGACATGAGCGCACCTTGATTTGTCCTTCAACTGCTCGTTTTCAAGCTCATAGCGCATCATCTTGATAAATTTAATTTATAAACTTAATTAAAATAATTAAATAAAATATTTCACACAGATTATTTAGATATATAAACAAAATCACAAGCATGGAGACTTAGAACTAAGAACAGCTGATGCTGATTTGAATTGAAAGTGTATTACAGCGCCTCTAGCGGCAAAATAAAATTTAAATTAGCCATTCTTGCGCGCCATCTGCTATCAGTTGACAGAAGTTAAACTGACACATAAATAAACCACGTATTATTGTTAAAATATTGAAATTAATAAAATGTGTTGACAGATGATTAATTATTTGGACTAATTTATAAAAAATGATTATTAAATTAAAATGAAAAAATTAAATGACGATAAAAGGTATACTATTATTATTGATTTTTAATTTAAAAATATATAACCTAGTTATTAATTATTAATTTTGCAATGTAAAAAGTTAATGTTGAGCGCTTTTTAGAAATATTCCATATCAGCGAGGAAACCAAAGAGACAAGTCACCTCATTATGTCTTTCTTTACTCCGATGACGAGGTCGATGATGAGGAAGTTCCGTTACAAGTGCGGAAGCATAAATCTACTCCCAGGAAGGTTGAGGTGATTGTTGTTAATTTAAAGCCTGAGGACACTTTGCAGGCTTTAGCTCTTCGGTATCATTGTACTGTAAGTATTTATTTTTTATTCACTTCTTTTTGAGCTAATAAATTTTTTAATTAAGAAAAATTTACTTTTTAATTAAGAGGTTACTCTGGTGGTGAAATTTTGAATTAATCCGCCATTTTGTCATCAATTTTAAGATAAAAATTATTTCAGTAGTTTTTTTTAATTAATTTATGGATTTTTAGGAAAAATTATTTAAGTTAATTTATAAGTTTGTAAAAAACATTTGGTTTAGATTTAAAAAAGTGACTTTTAATTTATTAAGAGTTTACTCTGGTGGTGACATTTTGAATTAATCCGCCATTTTGTCATCAATTTTGAGATAAACATTTTTTGAATTAATTTCTTGATTTTTAGGGAAAATTAATTAGTCTTTTAATTTATAAGCTTGTAAAAATGATTTATTTTGGTTAAATTTAATTAGAGTGTTAGAATTTTGCATTTATTAATTATTAAATTATGAGTTTTATGAATTTTAAATAGCGCTTATTTAATATGTCACCATTTTATAAATAAATAGTGAAAAAAAATTTTTTTCTTAATTATAAATTAATTTTTAAATAAATAAAAAATTAATTAAAAATAAAAATTTATCAACAGATATCAGAATTAAAGCGTATCAACAGTATCCACAAAGAAAATGAAATTTTCGCTCGTCGAACATTAAAAGTTCCTATCCAGCCATTTTCAATATTAACTGAAACAGAAAAGCTAATAGACATTGAAGATGAGCCAGCTGCACTGCACCCAAGTACCAGCAACGCGCAACTGATAATAAACCTGCCGAAATCTGATTCGACTTTAAAAGGATTCGTATCCAAGGACGAGTCGGACATAAACACGCTAATACTCAACTCGGTTTGCGAGCCGGTGAATAAATTTACCGGTCCAGACCTGGACATTGACGACGAGTGCAACGAGTTACTCCCTGGAGGATCTAGAGACTCTACCCCAGAAGCTCAGGTTATTAATTCCTTAAGGTGCTCTGGCGCAGACTGGGGTCTCTCTTTTCTCCACCTTCTGCTCTTGATCCTTCTTCTAGCAATTGTTCTTCCCATTATTTATATTTTCTACATCGCTGAGCATCCTCAGCATATTATTGTTATAGATAGTAATTTTACTGATAGCAATTTAATAGAAAATAGCAGCGTAAGACAATTAAAATAGGAAATTTATAATTGCAGACAGTAATTTTTAAAAATTGAAATCTCGCTTTTTAAAAAGTGCCTTTGTGTACCTGAGATGGAATTTTTATATTTATGTAAAATAGTTATTTGTAAATTTATAAGTATAGTTAAAAAATTATAATAAAAATTATTTTTTAATTTGTTGGATTTTAAATTAATAAAAATATTTTTTTTAATTTAATTAATTATTTTAAAAATAAATTAATTAAATTTTCTTATTGTTCATTTATTTTTTAATTTTAAAAAATTATTTAAAATAAATTTGTTTTTAAATTTTTAAATAAAAAAATTATTTATATACTAAATGAAGGATTTTATTTAGAAAAACAAACCATGATTAATTTTAGTTATTTATTTTTTTTAAATTAAATATCTCACGCTCGACCGATTTCCATGTTGAATGTGATCTGTAACAAAATTTATCTGATTAATAAAAAATTAACAATCTAAGTTAAATAAAAAAAATTTATAATAATAATATTAAGTCAGTAGACGATTAATTGTCGTTCAATTTATTTTCAGAAGACCGTCGTCAAACTCATCATTTAAATAAAAGTAATTTATAATTAAACTAACAACCTTGCAGTCACTACGTGACTGCTGTGACTTGTGAAGTGTAAATAAATGAAATTTTGGTTTATTGAGTAATGAATCTTGTTAAATTGCACTGTACTTTCTTAAATATTGACGTTTTTAAAGATATAAGCTCATTTTGATATTACACTCATCAAGAGCTTTCATTTGAGTACCCACATGCATTTTTGATATATTTTTCATATGTACATATATGTATATATAATATATATAAATATATGAAAAATTGATGTGGGTACTCAAATGAAAGGTCTTGATCAGTGTAACGTCAGGATGAGCTTATATCTTTAAAAATGTCAATAGTTCTCAAGATAGAAAGTCATTTATTCATTATTGACATTTTTTCAGATATAAACTCATTTTGATGTTTCACTGATCGAGACCAATCATTTGAGTACCCACATGCATTTTTGATATATTTTTCATATATATAATATATATAAAATATATGAAAAATTGATGTGGGTACTCAAATGAAAGGTTTCGATGAGTGTAACATGGGGATGAGCTTATATCTTTAAAAATGTCAATAGTTCACAAGATACGAGGCCATTACTTAATTATGTAGGTAAAGATAGAGCATTTTTATATGCATCCTACTAAACTATTAGTGAGAATGATATGAAATAATTAATGATTTTTATTATTATTTATTACCTTAGTAGTTTTAGAACTTCTTGAAGCTCTTTTTGGAGCTGGTACTCTTGGACACCTTCAACACGACGAAGCGCACAGTTTTACTCAAAGGCCGGCATTCACCAATCGTAACAGTGTCTCCAATTTCCACATCACTGAAAAAATTCATATATTAAATTAAAAATTATTTACTTATTAAAAAAAAATAATAGTAATAAAATCAATTTGCATTTATATTATAATCAGTAGACGATTTTGACTTCAAATATTTTTTTTCAGAAGACCGTCGTCATTTATCATCATATCAATTTTATCTTTTATTTATTATTTAAAATTAAAAATATTAATTTTTTTTTAGAAAAATTTATAATAATGTAAATAAATATATATTACCGGAAGCATGGTGAAAGATGGACACTCATGTTTCTGTGGCGTTTTTCGAAACGTGAGTATTTACGAACGTAGTGCAAGTAATCACGTCTTACGACAATAGTACGCTGCATTTTCATCTTCTGGACGACGCCAGTCAAGATGCGTCCACGGATTGATACATTGCCAGTGAATGGGCATTTTTTGTCAATGTAAGTTCCCTCGGATGCCTAAAATATTTAAAATTAATATTAAAATCAAAAAATAATTAATCAAAATTAATTTCAATACAAAATCAACTATCAAAATTTTTTATTCGTAAAAAAATTAATAAATTTTATTAAAAATAATTTTATAAAAAACTGTTATTAAAAAAATGATTGAAATTAGTTTTATATCACTTATAATAAAAAAATTGTAATTACTTATAATAATAATAATTAATAATATTTATTAAAAAAAACTTTTTTAATTTTAAAAAATGAATAAAATTTATTGAAAATAAATTTCTTGAAAAAGAATTAATAAAAATTGTAGAATAAATTAATTATTAAATTAAAATAAAACTCACCTCACGCGGAGTTTTGAAGCCAAGTCCTACATCGCGAGTGTATCTCTCAACAGCCTTAGTCTTTTGCTTGGTCAAGCTCTTGCGAAACAATGGAATCGCTGGTTGTCTCAAGAAAGCACGCTCTACCTGCAAAAATCAATAAAATAATTAATAAATAAGAATAAAAATAATAATTAAGTATAAAATAAAAAATAATTGAATAAAAATAACCTACAACGCCGCATGGCACGTGCTCACAAAAATTTAGTGACTTTTTAGAAACTTTACAAGTGGGAAAAATAAAGAAAGTTTAAGTTTATATTATTAATTGATAAAATTAATCAATATTAAGCGATCTAACGGGTGAAATTTAATAAAATAAATCATTCATTCAATTATTTATTGTATTAAAGTAAAAACATGACTTACTTGGTCCGCCATGGTAGCTGAAAGGACGAAACGAGTGCAAACTACGATTGCGTGCGTCGTGGACTAACGGAAGTGGAGAATGGGGAATTGAAATAGTGTTGGAAATTAAAAATAGGTGGCGCTAGTGGTGAACTGTTTTGGCGGTAAATATTTAAAAATTGTGTTTTTAATGTTGGCGGCTTTAAAATTTTTTAATTTAAATTTTAGCGGGAAATTTAAAAATTAAATTAGCTGATTTGGAAATTGTTATTTTAATTAAAAAAAAATTAATTTTTAAATTAATTAATGGAAATTAAATTAGGATTTTTTAAAACAAACAAATTATTTAAATAAATTAATTAATTATTAAAATAATACTTTTCTAAAAAATTGCACTTAGAAATCTCAAAAAAATTTATTGTTGCTTTTTTTTAAATGTTTATTTATAATAGTCATTTATTTGTTGTAAAAATCCAGAAAATAATTTCAGCTTTATAAAACTTCTTAAAATGTTTTTATTGAAAAAAATTATAAATAATTTCATTAATACAATTTTAGTTTTTTTTTCATTTTATGAAAATCAAAATTTGATTTCATGCAATTACTTAAATAAATTTTCTTTACAGAATTTAAAAAAAGCATTAAAATTCTCCTACTTAATTACATTAAATAAAAAAGAGATCAATATTAAAAAAATAAATTATTTATCTAATTTTTATCTTCCAGTTGCTGCTTTTCCGGATCGACGGACTTTTCCTTCATCTCGAGACGTTTAACTTCAGCGTCTAATGCATCGAAGTCAATAAAAAGGACCAGTTTATTTTCCTCCTTAATTTCTTTTCCGAAAATCCTAAAAAATGAAAACTTTATATAAAAAACTGTTATCAAAATCACGTAAGAAAAATTTTACGAAGAATACTAACGAGCTGAAAAGATTTTTCCAGGATTGGACAGCAGACTTGGTCCAAACTAGCATTGTATAGCTGCAATACCCATAGAAAACATGGCCAGAATTTGCAACTGCTTTCCCACCAATTTGGATTGTTCCAATGAACACTCATTATTTTCGCCGATGGTGTTGAAAATCTTACACCTGAATTAAAATACTTTTGTGAAAGTGTTCGAAATTTTTTGATGCGTTTAAATGTTTTAAATTTTGATCCGTACATGATGTAATTTTTCAAGGATTTTTCCTGGGACATTCCGTTGAACAACTCGTATGTGGTATATATTAGAATAAAACAGTAATGTGCGTTAAGAAGATCAACGAAGACAAATGTTCGGAAGTTTAATGTCGGTAAAGTTGAATCTTCGTTTTTTTTTTTGGACAATTTCTTTATTCGATTGATTGCTGTAATATTATTAAATTAAAAAAAAAATCTTAATAAGAACATTATTTTAAAAATATAAGCTCATCCTGATGTTAGACTCATCGAGACCTTTCATTTGAGTACCCATATGCATTTTTGATATATTTTTCATTTATAAATATATATAATATATATCAACATATATAATATATGAAAAATTGATGTGGGTACTCAAATAAAAGGTCTTGATGAGTATAATGTCAGGATGAGCTTATATCTTTAAAAATATCAATAGTTCACAAGATACAAGGTCATTTCTTAATTAAGTTTCTGGAGATTCAGCATTTTTGAATTCTGCAACTTACCACGTTGGAAATAATAAATCCCCTAGGTTACAAAGCTTATAATCATGGTCATAACAGACAACCACATGTTCGAGCGATCATAATCAAGCCCCTTAAAAGCGATCCCAGTAAGACTGCTTCCATCAAGATTCCCAAAAAGATAATAACCGATACTATCACCATGACGAAGAAGAAATTAATCCACTTGAAGCTCAATTTTTCTGGCTTTTGGCAAACAATTCGATAATAGGTCTCTGCAAAAGTGACCCGCTGGAGCAAAATCATCATCATAGAATAGTAAATTTAGGGGTGTGCGAATAATTCGAACTTACGAATTATTCGTTTCGAATCGAATATTAATATTCGATTCAAAATTCGAATCGAATAATTTGAATTTTCAAATTATTTGAAATTCGACGAATAATTCGAAAAAATTCGAATTATTCGTTGAATTTCGATTAATTCAAAAACTCGAATTATTCGATTCGAATTTCAAATCGAATATCAATACTCGATTGCAACGATATTCACACACCCGTATTTGAAATTGTCGATAAGTTCATTATTAATCATTCTTATGTACCAAT